ACCTACCCTTGACCGGCAATATGATCTTCCCGATCAGCCATTCTAACTAAGAGTTAAAGTTGACCAAAGGAGATGTTGCTAGGGCCAAGTCCTTCTCCTTCAACTTCATCTTCTTGAATGCATCATAGTACATGATCTCGACCGAACTCCCTTGGTCGATCAGTATTCTCTTGATGTCGAAGTTTTTGATGCAACGCGTCATAACCAAGGCATCGTTGTGAGGGGTTTGAATTCTGTCTAAGTTCTTGCTTGAAAAAGTCATGATGTCTTTGATCTCGGTCTTCTCTTTTTTCACGGCAAGCTGAACGGAGAGCACTTCCCTCTTGTGCTCAGCTTTCTTAATCATCCTTCTGAACTCGCACACTCGCACCGGCTCGATGATACTGTGAATAATGTTGATGACTCCTTGCGGTGTAGCATCCAAGACGACAAGCGCATTTGGCTCAGCTTGTCCTTGTGGAGCAGCCCTCATGCTGCCGTCAATATACTGGTCTAAATCCCCACTGTGACTAGCTCCTCCAAGTGCTGCTTCAATGGCACACAATCCTCCATTCGGTGTCCCCTTTCTTCATGGAAAGTGCAGTGGTATCTTGAGTTGAAGCCCCTTTACGCATCCCCTAATTTTGCTAGCCATCGGACATATGGCTTGCCTCTAATCTCGCTGAGGATGTGATAAATTGGGATTTTGAAGACTACTGTGATACCGGTCCGCGCCTTCAACTTTCTCTTAGCATCTTCCTCGTCATTACGTGGAGCATTAGCTTGGTCATTTCCTCGGCCTTTATTTTTGTCATTGCGGCCAGTTCTACGGTGTTGCTCTCTCGTTCAGTTACTAAGGCAGTTGTCCTCCAGCCCCACCGAGTGAACCTTTCCCGCCACATGTTTGTTTGTCGCAACCGGATTTGCCTTCTCGGTTGCAGTGGCGGCGGCGGCATCATCCTCAACTCGGATGTGCTCGTTGATCCGCTACATCAATGATTCCATGGTTATGGACTGGTGCATCATGAGCGAGTCTCGCAATCTATGTCCCACTGGTAGACCTCGTTTGTATTGGGTGATTACCAAATTTATGGTGCAATCGAGGATCTCATTATAGGTCTCCAAATACTTGGCATTATATGCCTTCAATGAACTGCCTGACTCCATCTTGATACCTAGGAGGTGGTCGACCTCTTCTGGTGTTCAAGTATTGGTCTTGAATTTGGTGACGAAGGCTCCACCAGCTGCTGCCACTCCTCGATACTCCCCTTCAGAAGCCTTTCAAACTATTTCAGGCCCAATTCTCCCAAACTCACTGGGAATATGAGACATATCAAGGCATCGTTGCGACGATGGCCAGCCATTACTTACCGGTAATGACTAACGTGCATGTATGGATCCGTCTTGCCGTCATACAGCGTGAACTTAGGTTGATAGAATCCAACAGGGAACGGTGTGCTTTCAATCTTTGGAGACAGTGGGGTGGCAATGAGTCTTGCCAAGTCTCTGTCCTCTAGTGCTAGAATCACCATTCTAGGTGGTGGCATGGCCATCTTCTCACTGCAACGGATTCTGGGACTCAGCCTTTGCAGCACTAGCACTCTTTGGGCCTTTCTACGGCGTACACGTTCCTCCAAGACGTTCCTCAGGCCCTCCAAACGGGCAAAATAAGAGTATCTCAACGTCATTGACGGACGTGAGGGATGGTAGCTACTATCGCGTGTACGTGATCTCTCCATCGGTGGGTCAAAATCGCCCACGCTATAGCTCCTGGTAATGGAGAGGGAGGGTGTCTCCCATTGGTGTTGGCTACTTGAGCGACGAGGATGGGTGCACTCATTATGGTTTCCCACTCCAACAACACCCTTCCTTTTGATTTGTCGCTTCAACATTTCCATCTCAACTGCCATCTTCCGAATGAAGGCGTCCTGGTCTCTGAGTTTGTGCTCTAAGCGCTGAGCATGCGATTCTCCTCGTCGCCAACGCCTTTCAGGACTCTGCGAATGATCAGTGCTCCTTGCGCATTTGTCTTACACATCTCTGGGTAGCCCTCTAGAGGAAGTCTCTAGGCCTACCATTGTCGGAATGGCTGAAGGGCCATCTCTCCTCTGGACTGACTCTAGAATGATTCCGTCGACAACGGGCAGTGGTGTTTCGTCAATGTTTGCCATGAAAAACAGTCGAGAAAGCTTGTAAAACAAGGTTTGTCTTTCAAAAAAGTTCCCATAGACTGCGCCAATTGTACGGGTGAGAAATATTTACCGAAAACCTTAGAATAACGGTAAGTCCAAATATCGATCCACAGGGACAAATGAGAAATTAAACTAATTTAATTTTTAAATTCCTAAATTAATTTTGATAAAAAGATTGAGGAATATTATGACTAAATGAGAATTAAATGAAATTGAGAAATTAAATTGACAATTAAACATAGGGTTTAAGATATTGATTTTTGGAAAAATCTTAGGGTAAAGAATTCACCACTAACCACATAAATAAGACTTAACATCATCCATGAAGTGCAATCTGGTTTGAACTATCTAATATTTCACAATTACAAGTTTGAAACATTGATCAAGAGGATTGTTGCATTCAATGTACAGATACAAATCATCTCAAGTAGCACGAGGCGTTTGCTCCAAACTATGGTAGCAACACCAGCCTTCTCTTATAGCATGACTCATCTCATACTTTGAACACAAACACAAAGAAAACTAATGTATGGAAAGTATTAAACAATCACAGAGAGTAAAACACTTGAACAGATGAGAAGGAAAATTATTATAAACTTATAAAATATCCATACATTTATTCAAACTGTTTCACAATCAAAGCCTAAGAAATATCCCTTTACATGGCTAGGGTTTCATCAAACCCTAAAACTAGAAGACTAGCCACTCATGGAGGAGTGGGGAGAGGTAGATAGAGAAGAAGCCATCATGGGAGACATCCTTCACACTTTAAGTTTTTTTTTTCTTCAAAACCCTAACTGTAACGCCCCAACCCTTCCTATGTCATCGATATTGTCCGCTTTGGGTCATGCCCGCACGAATTTATTCTTCCCAGTGGGTCACCCATCCCAGAACTACTCCAGCCTAAGCACGCTTAACTAGGGAGTTCTGCTAGGGATTTCACCATCCAGGAAAAGGCCTTAATGCCATACAAGGGTCCAGGTTTTTACTTTTATAGCCCAAGAACTCCCTCTCCATTCCTGATGTGGGACACCGGGATCTTATTATCCACCCCCCTTAGCGTTGCACGTCCCCGTGCAGTAGCCTGCCAGCTCGCAAGCCCGCCCACATACACCGAAAGACGCTAGGAGCCCACACTCGGTACTCCGGGGAGTCGGCTCTAATACCATTTGTAACACCCCAATCCTTTCTATGTCATTGATATTGTCTGCTTTGGGCCATGCCCATACGGATTTGTTCTTTCCAGTGATTCACCCATCCCAGAACTACTCTAGCCTAAGCACACTTAACTGGGGAGTTCTGTTAAAGATTTCACCACCTAGGAAAAGGCCTCGATGCTATATAAGGATCCAGGCTTTTACTTTTATAGTCTAAGAACTCCCTCTCCATTCTCGATGTGGGACATCGAGATCTTACACTACCCTCCATTTTCCTTGGAAAAATATTAGAACCCTAATCTAGTCTCTCTTTCTTCTTTTTATATCTCTGTTGTCTTTCAAACAGGTTTAAAACAGCTGCACAATTTCTAAGGTACTACCGTACGTGCAGGAATGGCCACCACACGTATGGGAAGCTTGGGCCTTGTTTTGGCTACAAGGTAAAGGCCACACGCGCGGGAATGGGCCTCCGCACATGTGGGAAACGCTTTTCTCTACAAGTCTTGCATTTTTGGTCATTTTATGCTCTCACTATGTACAACCTGATTGACATTAAACAGGTATAAAATATATAGTTTGACAACCAAGGAAAGTTTAGAGATCCTAATTAATGGCCTCAGTGTTGCACAATTCGGCCTGAATCAAATATAAAGCCCATAAGTATTATAAATTAGTAAAAAACCTTATCTAGTTAAAATTTTGTTTAAAAAATACTTTGAATTTTTGTTCTATCTTTGAAAAGTGGGCGTTAGCTCTTATGATGAATTTTTTTTATAAGGATAAAGGTAATTATCTATAGTATTTTCTTATTTATCTTTTAAAATAGTTACGTCCTTGCTTTTATCTAGTATTATATGTCAGATTTCATTTACAATTTCTAATTGATTGTTTTTAAGTTTTTTGTTAAATTCTTTTTGTAATTTAATTAATATATTATTTTTCTATTATTATTTGTGGTGAAATGTTATTATTTAAATTATCTAATCCTTCTTCTTCAATATATCGAATATTTATATAATTTTATTGGTAAAATTGAAAAATTAAACTCAAATACAATTAAACACGTTTTAAAGACAATAAAATTGTAAGATTTTTTGTAATAAAAATTTAATTAGGTAGGGCCTATTACTAATTTGTAATACTTGCAGACTTATATTTTAATTTTGTAATCTTTTCAGACACTAAATATGTTTGAATTAAATATTTTCGAGACTTAATAGATTCAATCGATAGTTTAAGCACTAAATAGAATTGATTCATATACTTTATGGACTTAATAGATTCAGTCGATAATTTAAGAATTAAATAGATTTTAATTTATATATTTTAGAAACTTAATAAATTTAATCGATAGTTCAAGAATTAAACAGATAATTTAGCGATAGTTTAAGAATAAAAAGTTTAATAAACCCAAAAAAACTTAAAATATAAAAAGTCAAAAGTAAGGGGAAAAAAAAGTCTAGGAAGTTAGAAAATAGACAAGTATAAAGAAGATAAAGTATAATTGAGGAGTTGTTTAGAATGATCCAAATAATTGTATTTTTTGATTTTTTATAAAAAAAAATATACCAAAAAAAAAAAGTGATATGACTCAAAAAATAAATAAATAAATAAATAAAAGTATACCCCAAACAAAGCCTTAATATTGGAGAGAAAGAGAGAGAGTATTTATGTCACGTGCAAGTGCATGTGACTGTGTTGGTTGGGCATAATCATAAGCCATCCATCACATCGGACACAGAGAGACGATCAGAGCGCAAATTCGAAGGAAGGTCAAAGGTTCGCCTTCGCCACCTTCCCACCGCCGTCATCGCCGCCACCTTTAGAAAGGTTCTTCATATCTATTTTCTTCTTTGAGAATAATCAATTTTCTTTTGAAATCATCAATTTTATTTTATATATATATATATATGTCGATATATAATGGATATGTATATGTTAAAATCACGCTTCTTCGTACCATGGATTGTGATGATGCGTTTGATGGTAACATCGTTATACATTCTGATTATTACATCATCAGCGAATTGCACATTTTTTGTTTTTATTTATTTTTTGTATGTTTCGTATGATTGTTGAAAAACCAATGGAAAAGTAAAATAAAAATGGAAAAATTCAAACCTCTGTTTTTGTTTTTTGTTTTTTTTTTTTTTGTTTATAAAGTAGAATTTATTTGACTAATTCTGACAAAATTGAGGTTTTAATTTTTCTTAAGAACTAAGGTAGTGTTTGGGTCAGTGGAATGATTTTATGTAGGAATGGAATAGCACTGTTTTTTAACCTCTAATGAAATGATCATTCTTCGAAATTGGCTAATGATGATTCTATTTAAAATATATATATTACCGAGCCAAACATGGGAATGAGTATTTTGACAAAATGACGATTCTATTTTAATGACTCAAATGTTGCCTAAATTGCAAAATCGTAAAGAGATCAAGTGTCTTCATTTTTTTTTTTTTCTTTTAGTGACCGAACAAAAGCTTGTAATCTGTTTGAACTCTTATTCTTATTCTATATAATCACCAATAATCAACAATTTTTTTTTTTTTTTTGCAAGTGTTCAATCTTTGTTTTCACTTGGTCATTGCAATGAGACCATCTAGTTGATCACATCAATTATTGAAAAATGTGCTATGAATTCCCCTATCTAATTAGTTATTTGTATGTTCTCGCTCTAGAAGTCATTAGCTGAGATTATCCACTTTTAGCTTGGAAAAGAATCTTATAAATAAGCCCAAAATAAGGACGTAGTGGAGGGGACAGAATTTGGAGGCATTTGATTTGCACCCACTCTCTACTTCAAATTCTATTTCATTGTTTTGCAATTCTTCTACCTGTTCTTTTTCTTTTTCGCTCCCTTCTTGTTTTTCCTTTTCCCTTTATGTCTTCTATTTCTCATTTTTGCTTTAGACTTTTGATTCAACTATTTTGACAATAAGAACCTTAAGAAGTTTTTGGAGAAGTAGTCTTAGCAGTATTTGTAATTACATTGTTATTAAGTTGACTTTTAGATGAGAATGGACAAGAACCGACCATGGATGGATGAGCCAAACATTCAATGTGGTTTGGGGTGAGGAACGCAATGAGGCTTTATACATAATAAGAGAACGCCATGTAAATGGTATAAAGTAATTTAATTGCCTTTGAAAAGAAATAAATAGAATAGGCTACGTGCTCATGATAGTGATTGGCCTTCTTTTGTTCATACCCTTTTTTTTGGCCTTATTTTGCTCACACCCTTTCTTCTATTTGACGTCAATTGCATATGATGGTCCAACAACACAGCTGAATTTCAACCCTTATTTCAATTATTTTGAAGTAATTTTTTTTTTCCTTAATCTGTTGTGGTTTATGGCTCATAAGCTTAAGAGTTTCCTGCAGAAACTATGAACCAGAATTTGATGAATATAACTGATTTGAGTGTTGATGTACTGTCTTTTTGTAGTTTATGAATTTCATAAGCTTATAATTTTTTCTGCAGAAACTATGAAGCGGAAGAGGAAGCGGACAAATATAACTGATCTGAATGTTGATGTACTGAAATGTATCATGAGTTTTGTAGCTAAATCTTCTGATGGGGCTGGCAGTTTTGCAAGGGCAATATCGGTGTAAGTTTACGTTTAAGAGTGATGCTGAATTTGTGGCTGCAATACAGTCTATTACCTGTCATTATGTTAATTATGTGTGTATGTTTTATCTTGTTTGTACAAATTATTCTTTGGTATCCAAATCTGAGGTAATTCATCATTGAAAATTTCAGTCCACAAAAATATGATAGAAACATTTGTGCATTGTAACAGATTAATTAAAATTTTCATTTTAAAATGCCCACTAATTTTCTTTTATCAGGAGTTGCTTTTTAGGGGTGAGAGATCATGTGGTTGTTTGGATCATCGTGCCATGCTTATTTTAAGGTTTAAGGCCCATGACATTTTAACAAACTCAATTATACTTAAAAGTTAAAGCCAAAAAAGGGTTAATTGTTACATTTGCATTCTTTATGTAAAAGAATGTCAAAATCATTTCTTCCATCAAAAGAAATTGCATGAAATGAATTGTCTGGAATTATCCAATTATACATTTAATAATATCGTTATCACTGTAATTGATTTCCTTCAGGGCTTGGGACGGTGGACTCTGGTCACCAACGAAGAAAGCATTACACATGGTGTTATTGGTGTCTCTAATTAGAATGTGTGCAAACATTTAAGTACACTATTTTCAATTGGATAAGTGGGGTATTTTTGGACTTTTATGGATTTTGTGGATAGACAAATTGTTTACTGAGTTTTATGGATTGAGAATTTTTGTGGAAGTTGCCTCAAAATCATCAAACGTACCAAACAAAAAAGAAATAACTAAATTAAAAAATACTACTTTGTTCTTGTCTACCATGCTTTGAAATTATCAGAATTTGGCTGACACAGTATATGTGGAATTGATTCACACCAGTATGTCATCGTGGTGCTTTGTATTGTGAGACTGCGAGGAAATTTTCTTTGGTTTTCGACAAAAATATCAAAAGGCCTGTGGAAAGTGCTCAAACACATACCAACCCACTCTCCATGCACACACCAACACTCTTTGCTGCTTTTAATTCTAGTGAGGTTCTCGTTACAGTTGCAAACCATTCATGGAGCTTGCTGAGGACACAGACATCTTGAAAGCTATAGTTTTTGAAAAGGGTAGCGACTCTGAACATGATGAATCGTTCTGGCAGATTAATGGCTTGTTAAACAAATGTGCACGGGCTGGAAATATGTCTGCTAGTCACATACTTTTAACGGTAATACCTTTTGAAATCATGTGTGCCAGTGTGTTTTTGTATCCTTTCGACAATAGTTCTTCTATTTGCACATAAACCAATCACAGAAGCAAACACCTCATGTGAGGGGATTGTGTCCAGTTCTATGTTCCTAGACTTTTTCGTGGTACCAATTGATATCTTGTTTAGCATGTAGTCAAAAACAAGCTGGGATCCTCACCTTAGTGTGGTGAATTGGCATTCCCAACACTATGTACGTTGCTTGTCAATTGAACATCCTTTTCGTAGTCTGCTTAAGCCTCAACGATTGTGCCTTGAGGCTCTATTCAGTTGTCAAGAATTTTATGTGAGAAAGCTATTCCTAGAAAAAGTGTAGTAAAGAAAAAGAAAAAGAAAAGTTGTTTTTCCGTTTGTTCATTTGTCAAGAAAAAGAAAGTGCATTGTTAAGATTCTTGTGAAATCTTGTAATTTTTGCAAGACATGTTTTGAGGAAAAACTTATTCGGATAGGAAAGTTAAAGATATGGGACTCACAATTTTCTTGCTAACTAAACATGGAAGAAGTTATGGGAAAGTTGATTTTCCTCTACTTTACTTTTTTTTACCCTAACAACTGGACAGGGCCTTGTTGAGTCATCACTAACTGTCTTCTCTCTAGAATATTCTACAAGTTTCGTTCTAGAGAAATCTGGAAGATTCTAGAACATCCTGTTTTAGGTTCCGGAACATTGAAGAAGTTTGGAGAAATCTAGAAAGTTTCGGAAGATTCTAAAATATTTTAGAGAAGTACGAAAACTCTAATATTTACTCGAGTAGTTTAGATAGTTCTAGAGTATAGTGAAAATGTGAGTGTATTCTAGAAAGTTATTCACTAGAAGTATAAATATGAGATAAGCTCATGTACTAGGCAATTGAGTGAAAGAAGAGTGATCAAGCACTACAAGAGTGATCTAGTGTGAGGTATCTCAAGGTATTTTGTGAGGAAGACACAAAATCTAAGGGTGCGTGCTTGAATGTATTACAAGAGTGAACAAGTGAAGTGTGTTAGTGTGTGACTATGTACAAGTGATTTGCGTACTTAGTACAATTAATAAAGGTTGTATTTTTGGGTCCACCAGTGTATCAAACTCAATAGGCCTAACTGACTACCCTTCTCAAGTCTCTCTAACTTAATGTCCATAAATTAGTTGAGTATGTATCTTTAATCATTATCTTTGATTATTGATGCTTAGATGCCCCTGTATATAGTAGCTAATTGATAATGTATGTCCAGTACCTTGAGGATCGTGTGGAATCTTCATGGGAAAGTGTGGAAATTATTGAGTCAGTCAAGAAGGTAATACTAATTTTGAATCTCCTATTTTATTCTAGTCTACTTTGAATCTGGTTTATGAATTGATTGTCCCACTTCTTGCTAACTAATCTATACATGCAGAACTTCATCGAGAAAATGATGGCTGTTATGGCTGTATTTACAAGGGCAAGATTGAGAGCTGCTACATTGGCCCGGGATGTAATAATAACGCTCTCAAATTTTGCTAAAACATTCTTTCTTTTTTTTCTTTCTTTTTTCTTTTTAGGTGTTTGGGTTATGCACTAATGGACTGATGGCCCTAATCCCGTCACTTGTCAATGTATATGTGCAGGAGCTTGTGTGGATGCTTCAAGATTTTCTGATTGATTCCCAAGAAATCGGTGATCTGATAGTGGGAATGAAGTCTGCTGTAATTGTCGAGAAAGGGTGATCTAGGTGAAAGGAGTTGCATCACTTGCTAGAGCAGACAGATATAATTGCCAATGTACTGGATCGTCGTGTTTTCCCATCCATTTTGATTTGCTTTATTTCAGCATTGTAGCAAAGTTTCATGTCGATGCATACACTCTTCCAACTTGTAAGGTTTTTGTTTGATACTATCATTGCTAATCAATATAGGGGTTCTTATTTGGCTTATTGCATTGCCATTTGCAGTTTAACGAGAATGAGTTTTGTTTTTTGAGATGTCATCATACTAATAAGACCATTCACATTCAAAATGGGATGGCACAAGTTTAGAAAGTATTTTTATAAATTATTTTTTTGTTATGAAATAATCAAACCATTTATACCATTTTGCATGAACTCTACACAAATTTCTTTTATTACTCCTTTTGTGACTACCAGTTGGATTCCAGTTCTAGTGATTATGCCATAAGAAACCTGCTCATGCCTTTCGTGGTATTGTTTTCAAAATTTACATTTTCATTTTTCGTATTCCTTTTTCATGTTAAAGATTTAGAAACACTCATCTGTTTTTTATTTTTATTTTTCAAAATTAGTTTTAAAAAATTAATAATAATTTGAAAGTATTTCCTTAAAAGGGATATTTTTTAAAAGCTTTTCCAAAAACAATATCAAAAAGTTTTTTGTATTCCCATTTTCTGCTTTTCCAATACATTTGGACAGTGCTCATTTTGTTGGAATTAAAGTTGGAATAGGATCGCCACCCGCCACGTGTGTGTGGAGGTGGTGGGAGTGGTGATTGGAGGGTCTCAATCACATCTCATAAAATAATGATCATTCTCAGAGATGAAGGAATATTCATTATATTTCTACTTAAAATCATTGTAGTGAGCCAAACACAACGTCAATGCTTACATTTGTCACACTTTTTTTTTTTTACCATTCCATATAGGAAAATTCTGTAGCACACATCCCTTTAATGTTGTATATTATATGCACCTTGTTATCCTCTAATGATGCGTACCATATACATCTTATTATATGTTTTTGTAGTATATATTACATATTTTTGTAATAAATATTACATATTTTTCTAGTAGAAAGTATGATAATTTGTGATTCAAAAATAAAATTATATATTTTGAGATAATATTTTGCACTTCGTGGATTGTTACAAATTTTGAAGTTAGAAAATATTTGGATGAAAAAATATGTAACATTATGACAAAAATGTCTAACACTACCACAAAATGCTTAATTTCATCTCAAAATCACAAATTGTCGTAACTCCTACAAAAAGAAAAAAAACACACAAAAAATTTGTCACAAAAATACATAACAAGATGCATTATAGTACACACCTTTTGAATGGTTTGTACTATAGCTAATCCCTTCCATAAAATTAAAACTAGAAGATTAGAGCTCCCAATTCCGGAAATGAAGAAAGATGAAATGCCAGAAAGCCTCCAGGCGGAAGAGGTATTTATACTTGTCTCCCCTTCTGGTCATCATATAGTGAAGTCTGAGTTCCTCCTAAGCTGGTAGATTCATGCTACACCTAATGATCTAAATCACCTTTTATCTCTTATTATTACACCATTTTCCAAATTCTCATTATGTACAGTTCCAACAGAACATCGCAAGAAAATGCCAGAGTGCAGGTAAAACAGACACGAGGCACAATAGCTTATAATTGATCAAATGAATGTCAAAAGTCACCCGGACAAACTTGCAGAAATGCACCCAAAAAAAAATCAAGAAAGAGAAGAATAGCACACACTCTTGTTCATCCAAAACACCCACAAACCCAACCAAAAAGGACTAGCTGGCTATTTGGCGAGTTTGAAGTACAAGATCAACGCAATAGCAATAACAAGGACTGCAATAATGCCACCAATAATCCACTTGTTCCTGCTCATCCTTCTTGACATGTTGGTTAAGATTTTCTTACTCCTGCCAACGTTATCATCCACTCCATGAAGCTGCAACAGACAAAATAAACATATATAAATTCAGTTTTGGCACATATGATATGAAGAATATGGAATACCACAAAAGTGTACCATAAGTAACTGTTGAAGCTTAAATGAGAGTAATTCAGAAAATACAGAACAATGGAATTGTGTGCCTAGAAATGTGGAATTGACCAAAATCAACATGGACACAAAGTGTAGTTGATCCCACATGGGAGCATCCAAATGATTGTGGGACTGTAAAATGATTGACTTTAGAATAGCAAACACCAGTCAAGTAATACCGTGTTATTGGCATGTAAGAGAGACTGCCGCTGTTGATGCAAATCTTGAAGAATTGAAACACCAAGCTCCTCTGTCTCCAGCATGGTCCTTCTACTTTCCCTAACCCTGTCACTGGACTTGTTTAATCTTTCAGTAGACATTAACAATCTCCCCCTTTGATCAGCTGATACCTATTGCATTCATTCACAAATAAAATGAGCATTTCCATAATCAAATACAAGAACCAATGGTATATGAGTTCACCAAGGGACATCTGAAATGTTTAAAGTAATACAAGTTCTATAGTCCTGGAAATCAGACACGTAAATGGCTAGTATCATTTCTCAAAACTTAATTAAAAACAACAAATTTTGAGAACAAAGCCATTTAAATGAACCCAAATTTTTTAAAACGTGAAAAGTATTCTAAATAGCTTCCGATGAACTGTTCATTTCCAGGAAATCATTTTTCAAAACAATTTTAAAGACACTGCCAAACAGCTCCAAACAGGCTTCCACATATTAAGAAGCACAAACACAGAGTTGCAAAATTATACAAATCCTAACATACCGTTAGTGCATCAGCCATTCCAGATTCCAACAAGTCATCCCGTGCAGACGGGTTTAAGCTAGTTGACGTAATTCGTTTGACTTCAGCTTTCAAGTTGTTCAGATCAGATTTATATTCCCTTAACTTGGCAAGCAGCACAGCCTTTACATTTGGCTGCAAACTTCTTGCCTCAAGGTCCATTTTGCGGATCTAGAGAAACAAAGAAGCCAACGTCACACTACTAGAATTTGTAAACAAAATATAACACCTTAATTTTCATGCAACAAGAAGTCACAATGGTACCAAAGATTCCGCTTCATCCAGTCCAACTTTGATTTCAGTAACTTTTTGTTTCTTTTGCTCTGCAAGTCATGAAATATTTTGAATTCATCATACTCATGTCCAATAGTCCCCTTTTTTGATAACTAAATGTCCAATTGTCCATAACAAAGAAAAAATAAAAAGTGAAAAAGATTAAAATTTTCAACACAAGCATCCGTGAAAAACCTATATACTCAATCACAACACAATTAACAATTCACCAATCCACCTTGTTAGACGTGTAATAAATATGGCTGAGTTAAGAGCTAAAGCCAGACATATTTCCAACATAAAGCAAAAGATTAAAAAGTGTCAGCTGCAATTTAGTACCAGCCATCATTTCTTCTTTTGGCACTCCAATCATATTTGACCATGACCCGGGGAAAAAAAGGCCCCTAGTCCTCTCACAATTCTACATAATTCCTTCCTCATCACAAAAAAAAAGAAGTCTTTTCACCTACATTACTCCTTGACTTTCTTTTCTCTTTTTACACCTTTCTAAATTTTACTAATGGGTTTGGCAGAAACATAATAGAAGAGATGGTGGGAGAGCGAATGCAAAATTGAACGCTCCAAGAGCTCAAGTGGTACTGACCAGTCGACCGCACGGGGCCTTAAAATCCAAATTGAAACCCTTGCTAACAGCCGTTGTTATAGAAGAGATGGTGGGAGAACGAGTGCAAAGATCCTAACAAGCTGTATAAGAGCCCAATGGATTTTGCTTGGTAGGAATTGCTACGGTGTGTAATCAAGCAATCCAACCACGCCCAACCAGTTGAACGCACATAGCCTTAAAAGCAAAGGAAAAACCTTCCCAACACCAATTGGTTTTAAGAGACATGGTGAAAGTAGAAAACGGCACGCAGATCCTAACAAGGGTTCACAGATCATAAATTAACTCAATATTCACCTCAAAAGAGAGTAAATAGAAAAACCTTGGAAAAATCCTAACATGACAAGCAAATCCACAGAAAGCCTCTTTAAAGGCCATCCCAATTAGTCCAAAAGGCTTGTTTGGCGCTGTAATGCATACTGGCCACCAAAAGTATCTCAAATAGGCCCTTTGAAGTCTCATTCAATTTTCTTATCAAAGGATGCTAGCAAAGAAAAATCTTGTAAAACTCCATCCATGGGTTTTCCCCATCATTCTATTCTATTGGAAAGTAACAACAATGCATGTTAAAAAGCTCTTTGTTGAGGCACATTACATTCATAAGACTCCTCTAAAAACATGAAATTCAACAGCTACTACCTTGAAAATACACTATTGATCTATTACTAAAGATTTCATTGGTACCCAATTACCCAAACAAGTGAATATATCAATACACAACTCGTGTATATACAAAAATATATATGGGACGGTGTGTGAGAGCATAAATATCAAAGTATAAGCTAAATCAAACAAGTAACCAAGTTGAATTAGGGCTTCTTTTTCTTTTTCTTTTACCTCCATCAAGAAGACTGGCTGAGGTGCACTTTTTAGACAAATTTGCCGAGAGCTCACAGTATTGGCGTTCGTATCCTTCGAATACCTCACTCATTGCTCTCCAACAACAAAAACCTGTCCAATCAACAAACCCTAAGCAATCAATCCCATGAAACAGCAACAAAATCGAAAGTTCTTAATCGAAATTTATCGATACGATTAACAGATCGCTTCGAACAAAATGAATAGAGTTATGTCCTAGGGTTAATAACACCCTGCAACACGTACCGATCGATCGATCAAATCGTTAACATGAAATTAACAATCATTTGATCATAAAAACAAATAATTCGATTGGATAGATAAATTGAACCTGTGATTGATCGGAAAATATGGACCTTGCCGGAGATCGATGGTCGGACTCAGGCGGTGGATCTGGAGATGATGATGGTAATTATGTTTGGCGACAAAGAAAGTCGAATGTGTTTTCGCACAACCCAAAAGAAAGGCAAAAAGAAAGGTAAAGAAAAAGCGAGAAGATTGATAAAACTAATGTGGGAGTATACACTTGGTGACAGCTGTCATTCGCCTGGTTTACTAGGTCCAAATCGGTTCACGAAGACGGAGGTCACGGAACAATCTAATTTTAGGTAGTGTGAAAATTAATCATGTCGTAAAATATTTTTTTATTAATAAAAAATACTGTACAAATAAGAATATATAATATTTTAATAATATTTAATAATTTACCTACCAGGTTGATGGGTCGTTGAACATACTAAAATCAAATATTAAACTACACTAAATTTTTTTAAAATAATAACAAGTTCAAGTATCAATCCACATGAACAATTATGAAATTAAACTAATTTAATTGATAAATTCTTAAATTAATATTGATGAAAAGATTGATTGATTATAACCTAATTTAATAACAAATAAATTAACTAAATAATTAAATTATCAATTATAATTGAAAATGGATTTACTGAATTGGGGAAATACCTAGGGCGAAGAGTCCACCACTAGTCACGTAAATAGGGTTTTCAAATTGAAAACAATTATGTTGTGGTTCGAACGGAATAATGCTTCGTAACTACAAGTTCAAAGCATTTAACAAGAAAATCATCACGTTTAATATACGAGTACGAACCATCTCAAGTAGTACGAATCGTTCACTCTAAACTAATGTAGTGATACGACTCGTTTCTCGTAGTATGATTCGTCTCATACCTTAAATGTGAAAGAATAGAAAACTCTTGTATAGAAAACATTCAACGATCACAGAAAGTAGAATATTTGAAGAAATAATGGAAAATATATATATGAAACTTCTAAAACACCATACAAGTGTTCAAACCTTTACATAATTGAAAATCCAAAAAGAAAAACCTATTACATGGCTAGGGTTTCATCAAAACCTTAGAAAATGAGACTAGCTACTCATGGAGGAGTGGAAGGAGGTAGATGGAGAAGAAGCGAGACATGCTTGAAGTTTCAAATTCCTTTTCCTTTCCCTTTTCAAATCATAACCTCCCTTTCTTGACAAAACAACTTCAGAACCCTAATCCAGCCTTTTTCTTGCCTATTTATACTTCTGGTGTCTTTCCAAACAGGTTTAAAACATCTGGTACGTTTTCCCAGAAAAAGTCAACACACGTGCGGACAAAGTCAACTCTTTCCAAATTCTGTCTTTTTGCCTATTTTATGCTCCGATTATGTACAACCTGATTGACATTCAACACACATAAAGTATACATTTTGACAAGCAAGTGAAGTTAAAAGATCCTAATTAACGACCTCAATGATGTACAATTCGGCCTTAATCACATTCCCCAACTTACAACTTGCTAGTCCTCAAGCAAGTAATAAAAATTAAAATAAATTAAACAAAATCTAACTATTTCCTCTTTCGTGGAAAAACAGTTGCATTTAACATATGCAACAAGCCTTTAAACCACGAAATTACCTCAAGTTGACGAGTAAAGTCTCGTGAGGGTTTTCAAAAATGATACCCACAAACATTTTCATATTCATAAACGCCCAACAATTAACCACACTACTCCACATAGCAATCAACTTATGTGCCACTACAGTGTGATATTAAAACATAATGAGTCATTGAAGGCACAGTGGACAAGCATGAAGGAACCTATTGAGTCAAAACCACAATTCAATTATACAAAAGTAAAGTCTCATGTATTTGTGCATGCTAGTAGACAAATCATCAGTACCCTTGATGTAAAGTACAATCTCCATATTAGTTAATTGTCCACTATAATAGCCTAATGTAACTTATAATAACACCCAACATATACAGAAAAACTAATATGTTGCAACCAAGATTCTCAAGTTTTTTTTTTTTTTAAATGACAGTGCAATGTTATGACCCATTAAGTTTTCTAATCAACCCATGTAGCAAGTATTGGGCCAATGACTCCCAAACCAGATGGTTTTAGGGCACTAGGTGTAGAGACACCCCTACGGGCTTAATAACTCGAGTTGAAAAGGCTATGAATCCGAACAAGTCATTCTCCTTATTTTTTTCCTAACTGTGCAATGTCTAAGTTCCTTAAGCTTTCTAATTAACCCATGTAGCAAATATTGGGCCAATGACTCCCAAACCAAAAGGTTTTAGGGCACTAGGTGTAAAGACACCCCTACAGGCTTAATAACTCGAGTTAAAAAGGCTACGAACCCAAACAAGTCAAGTGTTGTTGTTGTTGTTGTTTTTTTTTTTAAGAGAATCTTGGCTCCTTATTTATTCTTTTCTGCAACCTAACTATTATCAATGATGTACACCAGGGATTATAATAAAGAGGTCACCGCTATGAGAGTGTGTTCATGTGAATTAAGGCATACTTATGACAAGTGTACTAATACCACAAGCACAAACGACTCTCCTAGTGCAAACATCACATGCAAGTATTTACCCAATAAATCCTTTTCATACAAGTCTACTATGCTCCCCAATTAACATATACAAATATCATCACCCTACTAGCAACAAATCACATCAAGTGAAGTAATGCAATCAAGTGAAACAGGTATAAGCATGAATTATGAGCCAAATATAAATGCACAAAAGAAACTATAACCCTCATCCCCTAACTTGAATATGACATTGTCCGCAATGGAAAAGTAAAGAGAAATGAGAGAAGATTACCAGAGATTGTAGGTGCACATCCAGGTAGGCATATAGTAACACACACACACTCAACTTTTTTTTTTTTTTTTTAAGAAGAAAAAAAAATTGAAAAGAAATAAAAATAAAAATAAAAGAGATAAAGCAATATACAGTAGGTACTACGGGGAAGCCGATGGGGTGGTGGCGGGAAATGTTGGGCAAACAAGGTTTGCATCAAAGAGCGCATCTCAAAGGCTTCATCCTGAACCTGTTGCCGGATGTCTGGCTGGCGGGCGTGTAACTGGTCGAAGGTCGCCTGAGAATAGTCTCGATACGCCTGAAAATCCGTGCGCAACTCCATGAGACTCTAGTGGTGATCACGAAGAGTACTGTGGACCTGATCCACAGAGTGCTGAAGCTGTAAGTACTCCTGTGAAGTAATGCAATCAAGTGAAACAGGTATAAGCATGAATGATTGAGCCAAATAGGAATGCACAAAAGAAAATACAACCCTCATCCCCCAACTTGAATATGACATTGTCCTCAATGGAAAAGTAAAGAGAAATGAGAGAAGATTACCAGAGATTGTAGGTGCACATCCAGGTAGGCATATAGTAACACACACACACTCAACTTTTTTTTTTTTTTTTTAAGAAGAAAAAAAAACTGAAAAGAAATAAAAATAAAAATAAAAGAGATAAAGCAATATACAGTAGGTACTACGGGGAAGCCGATGGGGTGGTGGCGGGAAATGTTGGGCAAACAAGGTTTGCATCAAAGAGCGCGTCTCAAAGGCTTCATTCTGAACCTGTTGCCGGATGTCTAGCTGGCGGGCGTGTAACTGGTCGAAGGTCGCCTGAGAATAGTCTCGATACGCCTGAAAATCCGTGCGCAACTCCATGAGACTCTGGTGGTGATCACAAAGAGTACTGTGGACCTGATCCACAAAGTGCTGAAGCTGTAAGTACTCCTCGCAAGTCATGTAGAGTGGGTCCCCTTGGGGAGGCACGGGGGGAACAGGATGATGTGGGTGGTCGTGTACGGCGTCTTGGGCCTGATCAACTAGGGCACCAACCTGCTGCGGGATGCAAGATATGCTATGCTGCCATTTCCCGCTTGTTGAAAGTCGGATACCCTCTATCAATCTCCTCATTCTCAGCAATGGGGAGGCCATTCAGCTCAAACACAAGTGTCAACAAATTGGCAAATGGCAATGGCCAAGTCAGGTTCTGCATAGGTTCAGGCCGAACGGCCTCTCGTAGAAATTTCCGCAAACGCATCCAGATGATATGCTCAAGCGGGACCTGATAACCATGCTAATAACCGTGTAAAACCCGAACAAACTCCAAACGACGCTCAACTCTATACCCAAGTGAAAATACATTCTTATAGACTACGGAATCAATGAATAGCAAGTGGCTAGGTAGCTTGCTCTGTCGTAAGCATGTGAAACTGTTGTCACCGTGGGCCCTCGGGAAGTATTGCTGGATGAGGCTATGTATGGGTTGTCGATCCTCAACTTCCGGGAATGGCTGATATTCTGGCTTGGCCAAACAACCCTAACACGGTGGCAAACATGGATGAGGTGATGTGGACAATATAACCATCAATGGTTGATAGCAGTCCATCCTCGGTGAGTGACTCATACAGGTTCTGGTAGAAGAGTCGTACCAGACGAGGATAAGTGGGCGCTGTCATAGTGCAAACGCCTAATTGTTGCCGGAGTTGGAGCTGCTCAATGGCCCAAGTAGTGTTCGTGTCACGCTGAAAATATGGAATGCTGAACTGCGTGAGCTTGTAAAGCGGGTGAGAAGCCCACTCCGGCCGTGGCAAGTGGCGAGGATGGTGGTGATGGTGACGGTGGTGGCGCCGAAGAGGTGGAACCTCTAGCCTTTTTGGAGGCCCGAGCGGAAATACATCGACTCATATCCTGCACACACCAACAATAAACACATATACTCGTGAAACCAGCATGAGAATCAAATAAAATATTAAAACACAAGTCTGCCCACTGATGTACCACATGCAATTCGCACCAATTTTGTTTTTTTTTGATTTTTTTTTTGTATTTATTTATATAAAAACAAAAAGAATTAAATAAATGAATAAAAATGACATTAAATAAACTAAACTAAACTAAACTATAAAAGAAGTAAACTATAGTACAAAATAAACTAAAGTATAGAATAAAATAAACTAAACTAAACTTCTTCTTCTTTTTTAAGAGAATCTAAAAATAAAATAAAAACAACAATTCACTAACTAATGGAACTAATGAGAATCACTACTAAACAATTTAAACTAAACAAATATAGTAGATAAAAATAAGCTAAATTATTATTAGTAGTAGTACCTTTATTTCTGAGATTTTTTTTTTTTTTTTTTTTGGTTGGGCCACACGTGCGCCAGAGATG